TATTCAGCATAAAAATAACAACAAATCATTTTAATACATTTTCAGTTTGATAAATTACCTGGTAACTCCACCGAAAGAAATTGCTGAAATAGTTATAATATTTTAGTAAATTGTTATTTTAATCAATAAAGATAATAAAGAAAGCTTACCGTTGAATACAACAGATTCAATATCAGACGGGCATGCTAAAATATATTGATTTTGACACTCTTGCAATTTATGTAAATAAGCAGCCAAAGGTGATGAATCTGAAGATAAAGAAGCATGTACTCCAATAATATGTATAATAACAGATTTCATAATCAGTTCTGAACTACTTGTTTTAGGTGAAAGTTGAAATAATGGGTATTTGTTTATTAAAATTCTAGTTACTGTCTGTTTATAAACGTCAGGTAAATCGCTAATTTCAGTAATTGCTTTGTTAATATAGTCTGCTGCTTGCTTCTCTACATCAACCAATTTACGTGAAGCTCTAAAAGCATGAAGTTTTGACACTATAATTCCTATTATTGCTATTCGTGCATCAATTGAATCATTCAACCGAATTCGGTCTAGGAATTTATTTAAAGGTGCCTTGTTGTTGAAATTATATAAATTAGAAAACGCTTTTTCAACTTCAGCGTAATCTGGAACGGACCAGTAAGGGTTGAATGGTAACCGACTTTCATCACCATTATCCCACGCAAAACTGTTGAACCATGGCAGCATTCCTGCCTGCACTTCACCAAATTTCTTCACGTCGTCGATAGCATACCCACGTTGACGTAAATCTCGGAGGAAATAAATTTTTAATGAGTGTATTAATGGATGTGTCAAACTCATAGAACTGTTGATATCTTCGAGGAGCGCAGGACCACTAAATGGGTTAAATCCTACAGTAGGAAATTTGGTTGCTTGGTCGATACCCTCTGGAATCATAGAATCCCATAATCTTCGAACAAATTCCTTAAGAAAAGCAATAGATGCAATTCTTTGCAGCGGTTGAACTCCGGAACTATATAATGCACTTGCTGCTTTCCGGAAATAAGGTGCCAATTGATTCAACTTACATTTCCAGAAAAATTTAAGTTGGATGATATCACAACATAACGCTGCTATTTCAGAATTAAGATCAGTAATTTTCAAGCTACTATTGATTACGCTAAGCTTTTGTGAAATAGTCAAAATTTCTGTTGGTTCATGGATCAGACGGAAGAAAACATTATTATTTTCTTCTTCTTCTGTCTTAAAAATTTTACTTATGATAGCACCCATAAGTGAGAATGGTATCTGTGAAAATAATCCGCGGTAAAGGTCTAGTCGAACAGAAGATTCAGGTGGAATAATATCAAGACATCTCAAAATGAACGTTCTTCGTGAATTCAAAATTTTTTCCGATTTCTCAAGTTTATTCAAAATAACCAAAATCGCGTCAACAAACTTCCAAGAAAGAAATTCTTCAAAGTTATTATTTTGTCCAAGGCTAATAATCTGAGTAATGGTAGAACGAGTTATAGATCTCGTGGAAATCAAATCATTAGAAATTTGCAATAGTTGAAGAGACTTTGAAGCTGAAGATCCTGAAATCTTTTTACTAAGTGAAAGTATTTGAGTAACATCGTGTTGCCAATTAATAATTTCACCATAATGAATTGTTCCACTATGCGTTCCATTACAAATTTTTTGCAACATCATTCTCGATGCTCCTTCAACAAGGAATTGCTCAAAGATGATATGTGATTCATTTTGAAGTTGTTTGACAAGTGTTGGACACATTTGAGCTAGCCGAAGTTCTGAAATAATAGAGTCTCCGTGTTTCCACCAACATGTATGCAGAAGTATGGGATTTAAGATTTTGTCTTTTCCAAGTCTATGCTCAAAGATAAGTTCAATCAATGCAGGATCCTTATCTCCAGGTTCATTATAGGCAATAACGGTTACGAAATCTTTAAAGTATAATATTGAAGCCCAATCAATAGGTGATGTTTTAAGAAGTGGAACCATGTTAAGAACCTTATTAGTGAATTCTTTTATGTGTTCTTCTTCAACTGATTTTCTAAGCTCTCCAGTTTTTGAATCGATATTCATTGGATCTTCATGCAATAAAGTCATTTCTTCTAAATAAAGAGCTTTAAACTCATCGATTTGTTTCATAAAATAGTATGAAAACGGAAATTGTAGATCATATACTCCAGGTGGCATTATATAACTGTCAGGAGATGGTTCTGGTAGCTCTTTAATGTCTATTATTTTTTTGTCGGTGAACATTTTCATCCAAAACTCGAGAAGTCGATTATCGTTTTCTGATCGAGCCGACTTATCAATAGAAAAGAATGTTCTAGTTACTGATAATCTTTCAAGCGCACATAGGATTCTAGCAATCGGTTTACGAACAGATCTACGAATGTGAGCTTGTAAGGCAATTGGGAATGATGCATAAGGATATAATAACTTCTTGTCGGATGCAACAATGTATTGCCAATTTGCAGGTGAATGATTCTGAAGCCATTCTTGTGTTTGAGCTTTTAAACATTCAATCAAATTCGGGTGGTTATAAATCTCTGAATTCAACCATCTATAAATAATCAAATAAGTTTAGCATTTTATGATGCTTTTGAAAGAATATAGTCAATGAACTTACTTAATATGTTCAACAGATCTAATATTAGAAGGGTATTTCATGCATAACAAACACCATAAAAGTTCTTGTTCTAAAATATCTTCAAATGGGTAAGTTGTATTAATAATATCGCAAAGACTTCCGTTTAAAAGAATTGAAAGTGGCTTCTCTTGCGGCAACAAAGTTTCAATAGTGACTTGGTTCCATCCGCACATGAAATTAAACGATGCCAACGATGTTTCTTGTTCTCGATGAATGTGCAAAATAATACATGCGTGTTTTTTTTGCATTTTAATGTCAGGCTTTTGTTTCCTTTTCGCAAAAAACTCATTTCGAAATTGTTCAATAATGAATTTAGCTAATTTGATACAACCGGCGTTCACGGTAGTGACATCGCATTGAAGTACTAACAATTGATCAGTAGATTCTAACCAGAAATGTTTAATCCTATTTTGAAGTTGAGATTCGGTTTTGAATGTCGAAAGTTTATCCACCTGACAATCAATTATACCCTTTAAACATGCCTTGACATCTGTATTAATGTTGGAAAATGTGTTAATTATTACTTGAAATTCATCTAGGTTATCAAGTAATGCTTGAATTTGGTCGGCAAGATTATCATGATGCTGTTTTTTAAAGTAAACATTTTTCCAATGTGTAATTTCTTCCGGATCCAAAGTAGATTTCTCTGCTCGAATAATACCATCGGAAGATGCAATGGCAATTAAATTTTCTTTACATTTCTCAAGAATCTCGTCATCGTTGCTATGAGGATTACTCTTTTTAATATCAATGACCAAGCTTTGTAAGGTTTCATCTGGATCGAACCCAATGAAAAGATCCTTTTGAGAAAATTTAGCATTTGGATCAAATTTATTCTTTCCAAATACAGTAACCATTTGCATGGCCCAATTTGATAATTGCTGAACTAGCTCAACCTCATGTTTAGAAAGTGTGTCGTTAATGGTCATCTTTTGTTTTTCAAATCTATTTAAAAGTGGTGGATCAGCATGCTTGAGCTTTTTCTCATCAAGTACCAATATACATCTAAAAGTCTTTGCCACATAGCTATAAATAAAAGGCCATGCATTAGTGTATATTCTTACTTATAGAAATTCCATTTAGCTAACTTACAGCATAGGGTTTGCATAAGCACCAAGAGCTACTCTAGTATAGTATTTTGGATCTTCGGCGCTACCAACAACAATATAATTTTGATTCCACAGATCGTAAAGACTTCCATAAATAATTTCCAAGTCTGTTAAAATCAATGGCCTTCCTGCCTCTACACACATCTTTAAATAAGGCATAATTTAATTTTCAATCAAATTTATAATTTTAAATAATAAAAAAAAACCCACCATAATCCTACTCAAAACACTATATGAATAATCGTCTTGATCATCAGGGAATTGTGACCCCAAAATAACAACAGGATCCAAGTTTCGTTTTCTCAATTTATACGTTAACAAATTAACAATAGAATCGCTCTTTCCAATAACCATTAGATGTCTTGCACCTTCATCATCCAAATTTGCATTAATAAGCTTCTCAACAGGAATTGGATTATAAATCCAATTTCTAGAATTATTAAAAGTTCTTAGAACCTCGCCAAAGTATTTTTCACACAAGGTGGCATTTTGGTCAGTGCCTCCGAAATTACGGACAAGAGCCATCTGAATGTTTTCGGGTGTCATATCACCTAGAGAAAGACTTTTGACTAAAGCATAATAATCACGAAGGCCGTGAAAATTTGGAAACGATTGTCCATGTTGCTCATAATCTGAATATGCCTGAGCTAATGGTTGAAGAGACGCTTTGGAGATTTGTCCATTCGTTTTTGAAGAGAGCAGGCGGACAGCCGTGTCCACAAGATCATTAAGATCGAATTTGGGCCTAATTACGATTATAAATTATCGGTCGATCACATAAACCATGTGACAAATTCACGTAAATCAGTTAGCACAAAAAAAAAAAGGTCACCTTTGAACTACCAAGGCTCTGCTGCTTTTACTATTATCCAATCTCCAATTAGAAATTCCAATTACCGAAACAGTCGGCCCTTCTGAAGGATAGCTTGGTTCAAGTAAAGAATGAAGTACTTTCAATGGATTAAAAGGACTGGTTTCGGCCAGTCCAACTTCATCAAGCAAAACAACACTAATTACGGGAAATTCTTTGGAACTTGTCTCCTGATAATTTTGCGCTTTTTGAAAAACTTTAAGAATGCCATCTGAAGTTGAGGATGATGAACCTTGATGAGGAATAAGATAGACCTATTAAGTCATAAATTTTTGTTGGAAGTTATAAATTTTGTTTGACGTCACAAAATTTTGTTGGAAATGTTAGCTAAAATAATGATATTTAATTTCAGCTATTAAACGTGCGTATGTATAAATACCTGGGGCAGTTTTCTGAAATATTCATCATTTGAATCGGATCCACGGAGATTTTGACTAACGAGCCGAATAGCCAAAGATTTTGAAGAGCTGCAAGTAAATCATTGTGATTAATTAATATTAATTCAAATAAGTGTCATGATCAAATAAACCATCTTTATTTACCCGGGTGCCCCAATAATAAAAACCGGAATCTTAGTTAGGATACAGACAATCATTACCAAAACATTTTCTAAAAGGGCCTCGTTCTTTGCAGTATTAGGAGGACAAGTCATCCGATTAATATAATTATCTTGCTCTTGTCTTATAACCTTATTAAATGCCTTCTCATCAACGTTAATTTTTTTGCGATTAAACGTTTTACTCATGGCGATTCGATATTTTTTTCTAAGAGATTGTTCGTACAATCTAGATTGATAACATAATCCTAATGCAAGAATATAGCACCTTGTTGACATCGAAATTTCTCCTATCGGTGGATACTTTGGTGCATTTTTACGAACAGGTGGTCGATTTCGTAAACTTTCGGCAAAAAACTTTACAAGCATAATTGCTCTCTTTACGTCTCTTAAACTAACACTGTAAGGTTCTTCAACCTCTCGAATGAATGCTTGAGATTCGAATAATAGTTCTGCAAATACTAAACATTGTTTATCAAAATCTTTTAAAGAATCATATACCATAATCTCGATATATCGACGTTCTTCTTCTTGTTGCAACACGCCATAATCCCAAACATAATCTAAAATTTGATCTGGTAGTGGCTTTACTTGATATACAAGATTGCTTTGTTCTTCATATCTCTTATTGGTTTTTAATCCGACGACACTTTGACTTTTGGTGCGGATTCTATAAGGATTGCATGCCGCAAAAATCCTGATATTAGAATGAATCAGTTTACCGAGTAACGTCCTGTGAGCTATCAAATCTGCTAGAAGACCTATGTAGTTACAAGTATTAATTTCATCAAAAAATAACCATATTTCAGCGCTCTCAGCTTTTTCTTGTGCATCACTCATGAATTTTAGAATTGCGTTTTCGGTGACTCCAGCATGAAGATTAAGAGGTTGAAATTCGACTTCCACAACTTTGGCCAAGAATCCGATTAAACTTGTCTACGTAAAATAATTTAGTTATGAAGCTAACGATAGCAATTTAATTCTTGATAATTATAAAATTATATTCACCTTTCCACATCCGGCTTCACCACAAATTACTACTGGAATATTTGCACGAGCCCTTAACAAAATCAAAGCCATCTTTACCAAATTATCTGCAGATAAAGCATACGGCGGATACTCAATTTTATGCATTGTTTTTCTTGCCAAACATTCCAATTTCTCCAAAAGTTCATTTGTGTCCATTTTGTGATAATCTTCTAGTTCCCAACTCTTGTCTCCTATATGTTGACTTTTCAATAAAGTTCTTACATTCTGTGGAACTTTGGCCTTATCTCGGTACAAAGCACAAATAGAATCGGGTGTTTGTGATAAGAAAAATACCAATAAATGATTTGAATCATCCCATTGCACAATTGTACCCAACCTTGCATTTTCATCAGTTGAAGTCGAAATTAACTGCTCTACCTTTGTTTTAACCGATCTTGTGGCGAAATCTTTAGAGACATCAATCAAAGTATTTACTAAAGTTGTTCTTATATTTGTATCTTTTATCATTAATTTCAGATTTTCACACTCGAAAAATGAGCTCGAGGACAATCGAACCAATTGATCTGCTAACACATTTACAAAAATTTCTACAAATCTAAATGATGAAATATCATCTACTTTTTTGTTTTTAAATAAATATTTTTCAATAAGTGGTTGAC